ATGAACTCATCAAAATCTGACAATAATCTGACCAGTATATTTTTAAGATAAAATAACTTTATTAGGTCATTGTTATAACATTTTAAAATTAGTTCTTTATTAATGAAATAAATATACATACGATTCCCATTTAAATATTAGAAACATGAATTTCAGAGAAGCGATCTTTTTCCAGAGAATTTATTTCCAAACTGCGCAATCACATATATATGGAATGATAAATGATGATGTGTGTGTATGCACAGACAAAAGTCTTGTAAAATTAATAAGTTGGCAATGGATTACAATGCGAATGGAGAAAAATAATTAAAATGTTTTGTTACAATAATTATAGGTAATAGTGGAGTGAAATGGAATGACGTGGTGTCAGAAACAGTGGTGATTAAAATTATGAGTATATGAAAAATAATTAAAGAAAAATGAGGACTTTATCGAATATGAAAAATAATAATAACAGTTTAAGACCATGATAAAGATAAGAATAAGATGTAATTTATTTGTATGCACAGTTATTGGTTAATCTCAGGGTTGGTTATAGTCATATTTGTTTTAATGAGTTGGATGCAATGATATCTAGGTAGATTTGAATAAATTTTTTAAACAACCTTAAAAGCAACTTGTAGATAAGTGGTTTGACTGAAACCAATTAAATGTTGAAGAATGGAACTTCTGACTGCTGTCCTCTCACTATTGTAGCATCACACTTAGACATGTTCTTGTATTATAGTTGAAATCAAGCTCTGGCTAGGGTCTATGTGTCTTGCTCAACAAGAGCGGTTGAATCGGTCTATGTACATAGAAGTGGTTCGACGAGGAAGCTTATGCTTTACGGATACAGAAAACAAGTTTCTACCAGTGAACGTTATTCACAGGTTTACTATAGAAAACGTTCATTTTATCGATACCCTTAACTGGTTTGTAAATACATCAGAAGAGCGAGACGGACCTAATGGATTTCTTTTTCCAAATTCCATTTATGTTCTTCATTGTGGAGCGGCTTGGGTAACCGCTTTCAGATAATGTTTTTCTGGAGGAATCCAAGTTCATTATCAATCCGTTCATTGCTACATACGTTTTGTTTGTTTACTGTATAAGAATTCACCACTCCTCTTTTTCATGTCCTCACGGTGGTAATACTTTTATAATTCCGTATTTTCGCATATATATATATATATATATATATATATATATATATATATATATATATATATTTACGATTGTACAATTCGATAACAAATTTGTCGAAAATAGATTTCTTTGCTAAACGTCGTCTTTTTGAATAAATATGTAGGATTTGTAAAGAATAGAATAATGTGGTTGTTGTGAACCTGTTTGTGAAGCTACTTTGTAAATGTAAAAAATTTAATTCCAATATCTAAGGCAAACATAAACGATAGACGCTAGTAGGAAATGAACACACAGTTCTTGGATACTTTGATTACAGTGTTTAACAATGGCTAAGGTTATAAAATTCGTTAAATCTTTCGAAAGCGTTCATTATTTTATTATATGCTTACAAAACTATTTTCACGTACAATGCACTGTTTATTAAGTCTTAAAACTATATTTTAGATCAATAAACTTTACCTTAAATAAAACAAACGTAAACAGAACTTGATCAAGTTACATTCAATACTGTTTCATACTCTGTGAATGAATTTCTAGATTAGCTTTATATTATTCACTCACTCACTTTCCTCTCTCTTATAATGTGTAATTCAAATCATTTTGTGTTGAAATAACATCATTGATACTAAACTATCCACAATTCATTGATTTTCTTCATTATCAATGTATGAATTCGAATGTTTTGCTACATTCTCTGTGTTTTTCTGTAAAACATTTCATGACAATAAAATTATCACATGTTATTCAATTGAAATAATAATCAAGTTATATAAATTGTTAACAAGAAGCAAACATAATCAACTATTTAATTGAATTCATATGAATCTTTCGTTTGTTTTAACGAGACAGTAATTACATTTGACAAATTGTTTTCTTTTCTCTTTTTTTTTCTTTATTTTTTTATAAATGAATAGAATATTTCTAGTTTACTTATTCTTTTAAATCTATTCTGTTATGTTATAAATGACATTTCATTATATAATACTAACTTGTTAAACTATATAATTATACATTTGAAAATCATTTGATTGTTGGATTATATAAATTGGTTATTAAAGATATGGTTAAATATTGCTATCATTTATCTTGTTGAAAATATAAAAGTGATCTTTTCAGTTATGTGCAATGTTTCCGGGGAAAATATGTCTTTTTTTAAAAAAATGAAATCTTATTACATGATTAGTGATTAGTTTATGCTTAGGTGTAATTGGTAGAAATATTAATATGATGATAATAAAGTAAAATTTATAAACGTTCACTTATTTCATGAATGAATTTGTGTGATAATATCCTTTTCATAATGACTAAATACTAAAACAGTACTTCAGAAGTTTAAAACAGTGAGAAAATTTATTAAAATAAATAAATTTCGATTATTTCTTAGTTTACATCCACTTGTTGTATATTTCCGTGTTGGATGTGAGATAGTTATCCACCTCAGACAACGGATGCAACGTTGCGCAAGTTCATCTATCCACTGGTGTTAGATATTAACATTGTTGAATGATGGATCAGTGATCTAGAGGTGAGGCATTCGTGCGCGAGACCTAAGGTCTTGGGTTTGAGTTCCAAGTGAGGTATCGTGGATACGCACTGCTGAGGAGACCTGTGCAAGGACGAGAAGGCCATATAGTGCTTCCAGGTTTTTAACGGCAGTCTAGTTTACATTGTCTGATGAATTCAAGTTTTACATCATGGTAAATTTAAGAAATAATCAGCTAAAGGATGGATACTAACAAATTTTTCATAAAATTATAAGTTGATCTCAATTGTATATTAAGCAGACAGAGCTAGTGACTATGTTTTTCAAAGTTAGACCTATCATTGGAACGGGTCATAGAAACGACATTTAAGTAGCTGCTTAATTAAAATTGGACCGAATACCGAGTATGCGTGTTTCGTCCTTTCTAAGACCCATCAGTTGGATGTGTGGAGTAGCGTTACCCACTTATCTACTGAGTCCAGATAGTCACTGGCTTGTGAAATAAGGCGAATTATAATTTTTAACTATTGGTTGTTTTAATTTTTGCAGTGATGTTTTGAACTGGAAACGATCAGTCTTTTTTGGCATATGTGCATGCTAAGCGTTCGCTTTCGGTATTGCCATCAAGTTATAAAGATACTGAGTAGAGTTGAATAGTGGCTATCAGTGCATTCCTTCTTATTTAAAATTCGTCATTTGGATGAAAATGCATTTCGGAGTTGATGTTAAGTCAAGGACTCGGACCTTCAACTGTAAATTGGACGTGAATTATTGTTAGTCAACACATAAAGTTTTAATACTCAATAAAATGGTGTTAAATCAGATTTGGTGCATCAAAATACTTCAAATCACAGATATCTCCTGTAGAATTACCATTTAGTATGATATCCGAAATCTTAATTTCTTGTAATTTGTTTCCAACCAACTAAGATCTGAAGTAAGATGTCACACAATTTACGACTGCTTAATGTGGTGTGCAAATCAATAATTTGGAACATCTCTAAAATATAGCTTACATGATATTAGCTAATACTAGGAGGTTTCTGTATATTTCTTTAATGAGCATCGATTCATTCAACATTTAATTAATTAACAAATGTTGTGAACTTATTTTCGATTTATTACATTCTTGTATCTTGATAAATAAATAAAAAATTAAGTTTCCATTTTAGTCATCCCGTTGGTAACTAATGACTTAAAGGTACAATAAAGACAAATAAACTATTATATAAAAGTTCATTAACTCATATATTTAGTATATACTTTATGTAAATTACATACAAATTTCATCATTTTGCAAATAGACTATTGAAGTGTAAGAAATAAATCTCAAATGATGAAATTAACATTTTATTATTAAAGTAATATAATTCATTTTTACCCCCCACTATATTCTATTTACTTTAATTTACTACATGAAATCAGTACTATTCATAAAATGATATTTAGTTTATGAGAAATCAATTTGTTAAATGATTAATTCATTGTTAAATACTTCAAAAATAAATGTTCTTTAAAAGCTACAAATTTAAATTCATGGTAAACTTCAGGTACATTTGTCTATTTTATAAAATAATTACAAGGAAGATTTTTAATTCTTAAATAATATTTCTTTAATATTTTTTTTCTCCTTCTTTTATTATTCTACACAAACTTTTATTTTAATTAAATATTTCAAGTTTAATTAATGTGTTCATTAAGTTAAATTGTTCTTAATCACTGTCAAATGAAAACAATTCATATGTGTTCAATAAATCTATTTAAGATCTAATTTAACTGATCAAATAAAATAACTGTGCAACAAAAGGTAGAGTTACTAGCAAATACACTGAAAACAGATACATTCAAAATTAAATTCTATGCGTTTCTTAACTAATTTGCATATGAAATAACCCACTGAATTATATATATATATATATATATATATATATATATATATATATATATATATATATGGATAGATAAAGAGTATAAAACATGACCGTATTTGACCGATCAGACTAAGAATAACATAGTGTTTAATTCTCTAACATTCTATTGGATACCATCAAGTACATAAAATCGATTCTCTTCAAAGCAAAAGGCATAATACTCGAATGGTTTATTTTCTAAATGAGTCATTTAACTAATGGAATATAAAACCTGTATATCTACTAGAACAAAAGTAAAATGATCAAATTGTTATAATTTTGAAGACTATTTAAATAATGAAGTTTGGATAAAGTTATTATTACTGTAGATACACTTAATAAACAATTGAAAATAGCATTTAGTAAACAATAATTATAGAACAGAATTGATTTATTATTTTAACTATTTATCATAGTTTGAAAACAATGAATATTCATGTTGTGCCTAAAATCCTTTTTCCCAATAAAAAATATTATAGATTATCACCAACACAAGTATCACAAACATTAACAATGACAACAGAACAACAACAAGAAGATAAAACAAATAAAAATTCCAATGAACCTCAACTTGTTACTAATAAAGAAGATGATACACTTTTTGAATATTCAAAAGTTAGTGAAGTTGAAACTGTTTCAAAAGACAAATTACCAAATTTATTATCACAAATTTCAGTTAATACTCAACCATTGAATGATTATGATCAATCACAAGAGGCAACAAATTCAACAGGTAAGCAATACAAAGAACAATTGTTAATTATTTAATATATTTTATAGTCGATTTATTCATGTATAAAATAACTATCAAACGATTACATTTTGTTACGATTGATATTCTTTTTCACCATACTGATATACATGATGTCATGGGCTGATATCATTTATCAAAAATAAAAATCAATATCAAGTTGCTATTTTGTCTTGATTTGATTTACGTATCTGTTATTTCATCCGTAATCGTAGTCAGGATATTGTGACTTTATAGTGAACACAATAGCTTTAGGTTATCGAGTCGATTTACACTCGAATTACTCTATCAAACATGACATTCGTAAAGAGTTGGACGGTAGAAGAAAACTCTGTTTATTTATCAACAGTAGATACAAGCTTAATCTAACTCGAATCATATATATGTGTATCTATGATTAACGTGAAATAACAAGCTACTTAACTGAACTAGTTATCGTCAACAAAAAACTAGCTACACATAAACATGTGTGGTCAAATACCTGCCATTATTTCTAGCACTGTAGAATTACACCCTTGTAACAAATGAAATATTAAAATGTGATATTAGAAAATCATAGAATGCTAATTACGTTTTGGAAATAAACAAATGCGTTGTCTATTGAGCAGCCCTTCTTTAAGAAATAGATATATATGGTGGTTACTTTGAGGCTTAGTAAATGTCCATCGAGTACAAAGGCTTAAGAGGCAAGCTACTTTGTATGGTACTTCGATGTTTAATAACAAATTAGGAGAAAGTTGAATTTTTACTTTATTATTGTTGATAAACTTTCATCGAGTATGTCAAATGTTCAGAAGCATTTATATATCGTCGACATTATAAATGGTTATATTTGTTATAACTTGTCGTTTGAATGCTTATTGTCTTGGCTCTTTCAATGCTACTTTTTGTATCTGGTCGTCGTTGATTGTTATGTCGGAAACGCCTACAACGTATACTCGGAATGAGGGACCTCTGCAATTCCCACGATGCGAAAGTAAGAACACAAAGACTGGTATAAGTGGTGATTTATTAACCCAAAACACTATGACGACGACAACAACTCTAGTAGAAAATACACTCATTTATATATTGATTGTACACCCATTTTCCTTAATAATTAGGATGCAATCACATACATGAAAAAATACTTCGAGTTATAACAAATCCCATACTGAGCATAGTTCATGTCAATGGGATAGAAGAATATCGCATATTATACAGAATAAAATATCATGCGAGAAAAGGAAATAAATAATACATTGAGTAATCATTACATTGAATCGAAACGGAAGTAATCTTGAACAAAACCCATAATGAGTAAATCAATCGAAAATTGAATTTTCTTTCCATCATATCAATATTCAACATTACAATTCACGCATTGACATATGGTTAGGCGACACAAAAAATTCACAGCCGTTTGACATGAAAATATTGTTAGCTTGGAACTATATCACTTAGATTAGTGGTTACACAACTCTTAGATTAGTCTGATGCAATCAGGACTAAACATTTTATAAACATGAATGTTAATTGTCATTAAGTAATCAATTGCTATCTGATGATTAACTCATCGTAAAAATAATCAAAATTCGCATTAAAAATAAGAGGTTGTCTTTATTGTGGTTAATGAAACCTAAACATAGACTATTTTAAATACATTTAAAAAAGAAATATTTATAATAATTTATGACATTAACTTCTTAGAACCTAAGATTCATCGCACAAAACCTATAAACTTTTTTTTATTGTGATCCTGAAAAAGTGACACATGTATTATGTCGACTTAGACAGATTGTGAGATTTACTTAGGACATAAGTAACAATTTTATTTAATAATCAGCAAACAGAGCGCACAGAAACAGTCAGTGAATCATCACTGTCATGACACATGTTACAATGGTTTCTGTGCTTAAGCAATGTTACGTTAAATTCTAGAATTATTAGACTGATTAGATTAGTCGGTGTTAACTGACAATATTTAACAGCTAACTTTTCCGATTTAAAACCTTTTGAAGTACAATCGATCTCGGATTAGTTATTTTATCCTTCATAAATTAAAACAGAATGTAATGCAAAGATCAACTTGATGTATTTGACACAGTCTATTTAAGCAAAATATTTCGATTAGTTTGATCAAACAATTGAATATCATGATGTTTTATGTTAGAAATGAACAAAGGTTAATTCAGTAAATAAGCCATTATATAAGAGAGAAATAGTTCATATTATTACAAAACTCATATCATATATCCAAAATACTTATTAGAATAATATACATAATGGATTATCAGCATGGATTAAGCATGACACCAAACTATTTTTAGACTTATTGACAATTTTGTTCATAATAACCGCTCCTACTGACCTACAAATAACCTCCTGATAGTTTTAACACAGAATCTTAAGTCTGCCCTAAGGTCAATTAAATGACTTTCCTTAGAATGTATGTTTGGCTGTCGATAACCATTTTTCTCAACCTTGTATCAAACCTGAATTGTGATTTAATCAAAATATAAAGTTAGTTCATCATACTTTTTATCAGTCTCAATTCCATGAATTACTTACTTCACTTTGTTTATAGACACTGACAGAAAATCATGATTATAATAGGTTATGACTGAAACCTATTGAGTGAAGTAAAAATCCGTTTTCTAGAAAATAATTATGAACAACACTATGGTAATGAAGAAAAACGTTATTTAAATTAAAGTAATTCAGAAAGACTGTTATTGGCTTTCCATTTAGCATCAACGAACAATACGATACCAAATTTTTCTGATTTAAATATTTTCCTATTTTATCGTCTTTGATGTCAACTTCTAACGTTTAATTAATACAATTTCAGTTAACTCATAAGTAAAACGAAAAAAGATTAAGTTCGTTAGTAGGTATCGATAGCAAATGGGTGGAAAATTAATAATAAATATATTTTTGTGATATTCTGATGAGTAGAAAACTGTATTTCTGATGTTTCGTAACTTAATGTCAGTCATTTCTTCAGAGAACGCACTTTGTTTCTTAGTCGCCTATTCAGTAACCAGAGGTTAGATTCAATAGGTCTTTCAAGAAATTTATTATCAATATGGCTGATCAGAAAATAGTTCAGTATTTATTTCTCATCTTTAATGTTCTCTCATTTACTAAAAATTGATCATTTAACACACCTCTACATAGTTCTATTTATGTATTGCAATGATGGAGGTAATTGCTTATGGTTAGTACGCATTAAAAGAGAATTTAAAGTATGTTTAAAAAATATTTTAGGAAAATGAATTACAATCTATGCCCATGAAAACGTTTTGCTAATAGTTAAGTACTTAGATACAAATACTTTCTTCAAGAATCGCATAGATGAAGCAAAAAATGAATTATTCGTTTTTTCATTAGACTGACAAATGGTATGGTAGGTGTTGTTAGTAATAAATATAGAATTCAATCGTATGTGTAAAGTGAGTTAATTTTGGTCTCGATAGATTGAATATAGGTTTTTGATTATTGGAATTTAATTTTTATCATTTACTCGATAAGTAATACTGAATAAAGCCTCAGAGAGGTTATAAAATTTTACTTAAGTCAGTCATAACCAACTGATATTTTTTTAAATCGAAAAACCTTTGCAAACATTTCAACTGAATTTAGATTTTCACTGAGCAAGATCGAACTTATGTATAGTGTAATAATTGTTAGTCTTATATGGTATTTTAGGACATTTTAAATAAGCAACAATTTTTGCGATGTTATAATCAGATAACTAATCCATATATTACTGTTTGTTGGCTGATTGAAAAACATCTAACGAGTAGCTATTAAGTGACTTTGAAGAACGCCATTGAAACCTTCATCAGAAAATGAAAAAGTAGTTGCTCGCCTACATTCGGGACTCCAATTTATTTATTCTGTTGTCGGGAATAAAATGTTTATACTTGGTACCAGCTAATTGTAATCGATACCGATTGGTAAACAACATTAATTTCTATTTGAAGAACAAAACTAGTGAGTTGGATCAGTTGTAGCATTACCATAAAGAATTAAAATGATGAAAACGTATGTGAGCGTATGATTGATATTTACGAAGTATTACAATCGATACAGAAATCGATGTTCAAGTGTAAATTCATTGTAATAAACATATTCGCAGAACATAGAATAGAAAGGATTTTACTGTATTTAAAATTGTCATTCACCATAATTTTGATTTGATAACTATAGTTTTAAATGAATGAGTTTCAGGTAAATAAAAGAGAAAGTGTTTTAGAATAGACAAATTTTTCAAACGTATAAACCTTTCTTATAAATTTCACACGGCCTGATCACTATATTAACTAGTGAAACATCTGTAAAGTTAATATATAGTTGTGGTTGGTTCTTTAGTCGAATACTCATATTAAGTATGGAAGAAATCAATATAACAGAATGAAGTCGCAAGTGAACCTTTTACTGAATTCATTTAGGTTTGTATAAATTTTGTTCACAACTTTCAGTATGGTTGTTCTTCATTTCCTTAGCCTATCGATGATAAAATAAGTGATTTTTTTAAAAACACTATTCCACCAATTTGAAATCATCATGATTGAACACTTGAAGTAATACACATTCAATTCTCCTTTTAACGTTAGATTTTATGTGACTGAAGAATTGTTAGTATGTATCAGTCACTATAAAGTGTAAGTTCGTAGGTTTCTTTTAACTAATGTTAACCTTCTATTATATAAACACTTTTCATATTATAATTCTTTCAGCTGTTACTTACGCTTATTACCCCTCACGGAGGAACATAAACCTTTCACCAGCATTCATTAAGTTGTACTGAAAGCAACAAAAAAATAAATAATACAAATCAGTTTGTACATTATGATCTATTAGTATGTTTCTTACCTGTTATTTATAAAACGAAGATATGTTAGTTTGTTAGAATTAGATAAATAAATTTTAATATTCATTTTGTGCACTACTCTTTACCAATAATATATTCATCAAAATGTTAAATAATTAATTAA